CTTTAAGTAACCCTGGTTTGGCTCTGTGGTGTCCTGGTGGTGTGTGTGGGGCTGGTTAGCCACAGCATGTCAATTTGTTTCCCCATTTTTTGCTGTTAAAACCCATTCATAAAAGGCCGGGGTGTGGAAGATTGCTGCACTTCAGAGGGTGCTGTAGGTGATGATTTATAAGGCGCTGGGCCTTACAAAGGTGATGTTGAGGCAATGGTTCTGTTCTGTGTTCTGTGTCTTCTAGCTCTGCAGAGAAGGACCTGGGGGTCCTGATGGATGAAAAACTGAACATGAGCCAGCAGTGAGCTCTTGCAGCTCGGAAAGCAAATGGTATCCTGGGTTTCATCAGAAGAGGGGAGGCCAGCGGGGATAAGGAGGTGATTGGCCCTCTCTGCTCTGCTCTTGTGAGGATGAGGGAGCTGGGCTTGTTCAGCCTGGAGAAGAGAAGTCTGCGGGGTGACTTCATTGCAGCCTTTCAATACCTAAAAGCCATAAACAAGAGAGGAGTCAACTCTTTGAAAGGGTAGAAAACAGCAGGACAAGGGGAAATGGTTTTAAGTTGAAGGAGGGAAGATTTAGGTTGGATATTAGGGAGAAGTTTTATACTATGAGAGATGGTGAGGTGCTGGAACAGGCTGCTCAGAGAGGCTGTGGATGCCCCGTCCCTGGAGGTGTTCAAGGCCAGGTTGGATGGGGCCCTGGGCAGCCTGGTCTGGTATTGAATGTGGAGGTTGGTGGCCCTGCATGTGGCAGGGGGTTGGAGATTCCTGATCCTTGAGGTCCCTTCCAACCCTGGCCATTCTGTGATTCTGTGTCCTGAACTCTGGTGAACGGATACTTGCTTTGTTGGTGAGGTGGGAAAGGGAAATAATTTCTCCTAGAAAGTGGAGCGTTTTGGTCTTGCTTTTGTAGAGCCCTAGAAGGCCATCTGAAACACTTGGTCACGTTAGGCATTGTCTGCAGCAGCAATGCCCCTTTCTGTGCAAACAACAACTGTGGCTACAAGTTAAAAAGTTACGATTCCCTTTTGCAGAAGACACATCAGTAAGCAGCAGCTGAGACCCCCGCGATGCCCCTGCTGCACTCGCTGGTACTGGCACTTTCCAGCCTGTAATGCTTTCTGTTCTTATTGCGAGTGCTGGAAGCTCCTAACGTTTGCTTTGCTGTCTGCCAAATTGGAAGTAGGTCTGACAGCGGAGTCCCAGCCGGTGAATGGGCTGAACAGCCGACTCGGTGCATCAGAACAGCAGTGGGGTTTTTATGTTACGTTTATTGCCACTGCTTTTATTTTTATTTTTATTTATTTTTTCCCACCAGGGGTACTGCATACTGAAGAGTGTCTTGTAAGATTTTAAAGGAGATTTTTGTGATGACAGAACTTCTTAGATTTTTGGCTGTTTTTTCCAGTTTTTGCCTTGGAAAATAGTTCCTAACTGAATAACACCCAGCCTCTACCTTCAAAAAACAACAGAAGCAGTAACAAAACTTAGGGATATGCTGATATCTTTGCCCTGTTGCCACAGCAGAGTCTGCACACATATCTCCTTATCTTGCCATGGGTTTACCCAAGTGACCTGAAGAACAGCATCTTGTGATTACTAGGAAACAGAAAAGGGGCAATTTAGACTCTGGTCAGCATTGCTTCATCACTATTGCTTCACCACATCTCCAGAGAAAACCGTGACCATGTAATGACGTTCCAGCCATCACCAGACTTCTCTTTCCCACTGGCATTCATGAAGGAAACCAGAGCCACAGGTGGGCTCACAAAAACCAGGGTTCTCACATGTGAGCCTGTGTTCCATCAGCCTCAGAAACCCTCCCTGTGTCTGTTGTATCTCTGTGTATAAGCAATGCAAGTAAGGAAACCAGCTCATATTAGAAAAGTGGGTGACCTATGTAATCTATTGAGAATGGCATCTGCTGTTAGTTATTGTCTTTGAGTGTTTGCTGTGTTTTCCTCTAGAAAGGAGATTAAAAATAATTGCTGAGGAAATAAACTTATAAACAGTTGGGAATTGCATAATTTTTTTCAATTCTCAGCCCCCCTCAACTCACTGCAATGGGCAAGACCTTAAGTTTGACAGAAGCAGTCATGAAAATGGGATGCAAAATAAAGCCTTCTATATGCGTCTGCAAATGAACTTCATATTTATTAATTATTCATGGTTCCTTCATTCCCAGAAACTTCAAAAGGGGATGCCCTAGCCAAATCTGATGAGTCTTCATTAAAGACATTGAAAAGCAGATAATGTTTCAGGCCAGATGCTGGAGGAACATCTCTGAAGCAGTGATAAGGATATCAGCAGCACCTTTCCCATGCCAGTGCTGGACCCCCAGCATCCTGGGAGTTTGACTCATGGTGCTCGTTTTGTCTGTTCTTCCTTAATCTTCTGTTGGAAAACTTTCACAAAGATGAAGTATGGCACACAAAACTAACATAAGCATTCTCATTCGGTTCAGTGAGCACCACATTTTCGCTCTTCCAGCGATGCGTATTGAGACACAGTTTGGTTATTACAGAGACAGCACTTGAGATGCTCTTCATCTCTTTTAGTATAATTTAGGGCCTTTCCTTGCTGGAGCAGCAAACAGCAGTAAGGAGGCACCATACTGGTGCGAGCACATGTAGTGAGTACGGAAACAATCTGTCTTGAGTTCTTGAGAATGACTCAACCCTCCTGAACTTTGCCTTTCTACTCTAATGGGTGTCCATTCGTGTGTAATGGGATGAAAGATGGTGAACAGTAAATGATTTTTGTTCACTGGAAAGTTTGTGCAGGTGCAAAGCACAGCAAGGTTCCTTTCTCAAAGCTTAACTAGGTGAAATAAATGGATGAGGTGCTGGTGCTGGCATCACAGCCAGGCCACGACTTCTGATGATCTTCCTCCAGCACTTCATGCGTTGTTGTGCTGGGCTGTGTGGAGGTTTTGGCTGTAGTGATGCAGAACCTATGAACTCAATAGGAATGGTGCACATTTCAGGATGCACAGTGATGCTCATCTGGCTAATAAAAAGGAATTTTTGCTCTTAATTAAGGTTGTGCATAGAAATTTTGGGGCCACTTGCATGAAATTGTTTTTCAGATCCAACGTGCTTTGGAAACTAACTGCAATTTGTTCCAAAGGGCTCTGCAGAGCACGGCCTGTTTCAGCAGTCCCAGAATGGTTGTAGGGATGGTTCGTTCAGATGGAGGGGTTGTTGTTTGTGTGGGATTTTTGTTTTTGTTGTTGTTGTTTTTTAGTGGGGCTGTTTACTATTACAAGGAATGTATTCCCAGCAGGGTGTTTATTTAGTGTCAAACGTCTGTCAAGCTCTTTTTTGCCTTTTTTTTTTCCTCAGGACAGGCTGGTGGGCTGCTTTTCAAGTGAACCATATGGCCTTGTGACAGGCAGTCCTTTTGCAGTGCTTCACATGTCCAGCAGCATCTCAGATGTACATTACTGAGTAGCTTCACTAAAATAAATGAAGCAATTCCAGCTTACACCAGCTCGGATATCTGGCACACCCAGTCCTGTACAGGAATTTCTTATTCTTTTTTCTCAGCATTGTGGTTCTCTGAAGTATTTTTTTTTTTTTTTTATGCCTTCTTTGAGGGCTTTAAACATTATGCAGTGCCTCCCTAAATGAGTTCACTCCAGGTTACGGAATAATTTTCCTTCAGTCTCTCTGTATGAAAGATTTCCCCTTCTTGATCTGCTCTGGTGGGTGTATAATTTCAGTATTGCAGACTGAGATATGCTCTCCTAAAGTTGCAATTTTATGTTCTGAAGATTTTCCTCTTTTATTTTTCTTATTTAAAATATGAAAGCTTGTAGCAGCTTTTTTTTTTTTTTTTTTTTTGCATGCCTACCTATGTCACGGATTCTTCTGTCACAGTCTGATATTAATAGGACATGGGGGAATGGTTTTAAACTAAGAGAGGAGATGCTCAGGTTCAGTGTTGGAGAAGATGCTTTATTCAGAGGCACTGGCGCTGCTGCCCAGAGAGCTGTGGGTGCCCCATCCCAGAGCTGTTTAGGGCCAGGCTGGATGGGGCCCTTGGCAGCCTGAGCTGGGGGGGAAGGGGGAGGCAGCCAGCCCACAGCAGGGGTTGGATCTGGATGGGTCCCTCCCAGCCAAAACATTCTCTGATCCCGTGATTCTCTCCACCATTTCTCCACTGACAGAAGGCAAAAGTACCTTAAGCTGCATGTGGCAAAGAGCATCAGCCAGACCCCTATGATTTTTGCTACTTAGGTTTAAAAATAAAGGTTTGGGGAGGGCAGAAATACTGCATTTTACTGCTCTGCAGCCCTAAGCAGCTCCCTTGTGCCCCTGCATGCTGGAGCACCCAGAGTGATGCCCTGCAGTGTTCTGCTGACAAACATCTGACTCAGGTGGTACAGAGGACACAACCTAACAGGGTCGGAGTTTAAGCTGCACACTCATTGGTCCTTTGGTTCATGTTTCTGCTCAGAAACAAACTTTCTAGACAAACAGAAGCTTTGTCAGCTGTAGATGTATATTTTTCTGTCTAGCAACTGTGCCAGCATAGAATCAGTGTGACCAGGAATGAACTAGTGCAGGGACTTGATTGAAGTTAAAGCAAATCTGAGAGAAAAACGTTGTATTATAGCCCAAGTTAGTGTTGTCACTTCAATATTTGTTCTGAGCTGAAAGGGCAGAAAAGGAGGTGAGGGGAGAAGGAGAGCTCAGCTTCTAGCAGCTGGAAATGCGTGTAAACCTGCTGCCTCCTAAGAGAAGGTTGTCACTGAGCACCACTCCCCTGCCTCATGCCTTATGGAACATCTCCATCTCACCATCATATGCTGTGGTATGTAAAAATCTTCACAAGCATTCAGTTTCATGTTTTAGGTGCATAAAGATGGTGTTTTCTCACTCTACTATTCTGTTGCGTTTGCTGACACATGAATTAATTTGTCTATAAATAGATATTTGCATCGTCTGCTTACAGGTCTGGTCTTAGTAGTCAAAATAAATAATCATTATCTGTATTTTCAAACAGAAGTCAAAGAGCAATCTGCAGAAGAGGATGCCCAGGTGGAAGTGGACAGCACCAAGCAGCTAACACCCGTCCTTCAGCGCTCAGTATCCGAGGAGTCTGCAAGCTCCACTGCCTCTGTTGGTGTCGAAGCTAAAACCAGGTGAGTGGGCAAGAGATGGGTGCTGGAACAGGGCTTGGAATGGGGCACAGAGTGCTTGGAGCACAGGCTCAGGGCACACTCCTGGTGCTCTGAAGCATCAGTAATAACAGTCTGTGTTGGCAGCTGCTGTATATGAGAGCGATGGCTTAATTAGTGTACAGGGAGATTGAGGTGAAAAGCACGCTTCTTAAATGTTGTCCTCAGATTACATGGGTAAACTCTCGAATTACAGCATATTAGCTGTTTGAATTCAAGCAGATATAAGTGAGATTGAGATGCGTTGTGGTTACTGAAGCATTCCTCCTGAGAAATGGTGTATAAGCAAATTTGTATGAAAGTATTTCTGAACTTTCAGGTTGTATTTCTGTGTTTTCAGGAACAAACAGTTGTTTATATATATCCATCTTGTCAGTTCTACTGTACTTTTCCTTATTTAAGAATTTGTAATACTGGAAAATCAGTATTTCTGATTTTTTTTTTCCAAGTTTTTGTCAATATAGGAGATTTAGGTTAGATATTGGGAGAAAGATTTTACCCCAGAGGGTGGTGAGGCACTGGCACAGGTTGCCCAAGGAGGCTGTGGATGCCCCATCCCTGCAGGCATTGAAGGCCAGGCTGGATGTGGCTCTGGGCAGCCTGGTCTGCTGGTTGGTGACCTGCACACAGCAGGGGGTTGGAACTGGATGAGCACTGTGGTCCTTTTCAACCCAGGTCTTTCTGTGATTCTATGAATATAAATTGCCCCCAAATCAGTGAAAGCATTAGTTAGGATTAATGATATTGTTTGGGGAAAACTAAACCATGCTGCCTGTGATCACTGCTGAAGCAGTATCAGAATATGAGAGCTACTGTGAACAGTCCTGTTCTGCTGCAGTTTGTTACCAGTCTGTTAGCAGGCAGTTACAGGTGTATTTCTGTTTTGACAGACTTGGAGACAATACTGTAATCATTTTAATTCCTCCTTGTCAGACACACAGCACGTTTCCCATGCACAAAAAATTAATTTTTTTTCTGCATGTATCATTTTCACATTTTACATGCCTGCAAACTTGCTATGTTCCAGTAGGTATTTCCTTCCTTACAGAGAGTTCTGCTTAAATAGACCTGGTGCGTATACCTGAAGGAAATGCACAAAAACTGCTTTTAATGGCATTTTCCTATGCTAATACTAAATTGTGGTCAGTAAGTAGAGTGGCTTGAACTGAACAGCTGTTTCTATTCTTCATTTCATCCTGTTTTGGATCCTTTGCAGAAAATGTTCTGAATGCTGTTTCATCCGCTTTCTGTTCTTGTCAAGGTTGCTTTCTGGCTGTTATAGTGAATAGTTGATTACAGCACTTTCCTTACCCATAAACTTTTTCTTAAAAGCTGGACAACAGTCAGCCAAAAAAACAAAACAAAAGCCCAGCATAGTTCTGAACCAGCCCTTATTTGTTCTCAACTTATTTGTTCCGCCAGCTTGCAGTGCTGAGGTTGATTAGTCAATATTGAAAGGATATTGTGAACCTATTGCTTCAGCTGATCAAAGCATTAAAAAGCTAAATGCTATTAATTGATAATTAACGATGGTCATACCCCACTTCTGATGTTTTTGAAGGAAATGTATTCAAGAGATGTGCAACAGTAATTGGGAGTCTGAGGTTTCTCTGCGCTCAGTCAGTTCAGGATTTGGATGCCTAATTGGCGTCATGTTAGTTGGAGAAATTGTTGATATCCTCATAACAGTGGGAAAAAAAATACAACGCCAGGTTTTATTGGTACTGTGTCTTGAAACCTACCAGAAGAAAGCCTCTTCTGAGCTGTGACTCCTTGATCAATCGTTTGTATTAGTGTCTGTGAGGTGTTCACACAGGCACTGTGCCTTGCAGGTTGGAAGGACTGGATGCTGGATGGCTTGTTTCTGTTTCCTTAGGACAAAATGCAATGTGTGAAGTAACACACAGCAATGACTTCTGGTCTTCTCAAATAATGGTGGGAGGAAATGTATTGAGATTCAGTATAGAGTAGGACTCCATAAGGATTTGAAACCTGTAACTTGGGAATACAGTTTAGACGTTGGTTTCCAAATTAGACATTCTCACCAGCTTCATTTCTTTGTGTATAAGTTTTTCTACTTCATTTATAGTGTGATTAAATTAATCCAGTGGAAATGTGTAAAAATTAAGATATAAGTTGAGGTATGTGAGAGTTACGGGAATATTTTTTAACAGACAGTGAAGAAATTTGCCAGAACATAGAAAAGCACCAGCAGTAGGCAATGCATCACTTTTTCATAGATTCACAGAATGGTTTGAGTTGGAAGGGACTCAAAGATATCCGGTTCCAACCCCCTGCCATGGGCAGAGCTCACCAGATCAGGGCTCACAGCCCCATCAGTCCAGCCAGAGCAGCTCCAGGGACGGAGCACCCACAGCTCTCTGGGCAGCAGTGCCAGTGCCTCACTGCCCTCTGAGTAAACATTCTTTTTCAATAAACAGAGTTGAATATGAGTGAATTCTGCATTTCTGTCTTTGGTAGTAAATAAAGGTATTAAAGAAGCGTTGGACATGGGGCATAAAACAAAGCCTTTTAAATAAACAACTCACTGTACAAAAATAGTGAACGTACAGTGAATAGAGATAGTAGGATGCATCAGAACCAGGATGGGACATTCAGAACCTGAGAGATTCCCCAGAGCTTGCCTAGCGTGGTATCTTTCTTCTGATCCTTCCTGAGTTTAAGTGAGGAATATCCAAGAGACAGGAGATGGAGAAGGCCTCCAGATTTGGAGCCTTTCTGCCCTATGTAGGGTGGGAGGGAACTCCAGGAGAGCTGTTCTCTGTGCCTGGGACTGGGGGTGGTGATTTAACAACGGGTTGAGGAGAGCCGCTCAGAAGGCAACATGCTGGAGCCGTTGAAATAAATAGCATGTGAGCCATAGGGGTAGGGCAGGCTGCAAGGGGTGAGGCCTGTGTGTGTGCTGAGAAGCAATGAGTGAATTATTGACCGCAAGTGGGGAGGGGCAGCAACGTCAAGAGAAGATAAACTATCGAGCCTGGCAGCGGTGGAAGTAGTGCTGCCAGCACTGTGTATCAGCAGTGCCATGGGGCTTGGAGCCTTTTCCTTGGGTTGTTCCATTTTTCTTTTCATAAGCCCTGTGAGAAGGCTGTGTCAGCCCAGGACGTAGGGCTGAGCGCAGTCCAGACGCTTGGGAAGGAGGCTGTGCTTGGCCTGTGCTGCCTGTAGGAGCAGGGCCAGGAGCCGGCTGGGACTTGCAGCAGAGCCCACTTCTACCTTCCTCCTATTTCCCACATTGTCATCTCCAAGCACTGAAAGCTAACAAGAATGGCCTGGAAGCACAGTTTCAGAGGAGAACAAAACACCTTTTGGTTCATTTTATTTTCCATCAACTTGTCCTTCTGCTGGAACTAGTAAGAAAGAACAGTCCTAACATCACCAAGCAGAAGCGGAGATTTTCATAGAGCGTTCCTGATTTTGGCAATTTCCCTTTCTGCTTTCCTGCTTCACTTTGCAGTTGGTCAAACCACAGCATTTTCATATTGTTGCTGCTGCTAAGATCAGATTTGGAGGCTGGAGATGGAGAGATGGGGTGCTTTCTTCCATCAGAAAGGAGTTGACGAACATTTGTTGATTGTGTGAACAAAGATAATGTCTGGTGAAAAAACAGCAGTGAACTTCATAATCTTCACTCCTTATCTTTTTCTTTCTTTTTTAATCTCCAAGGAAAGAGCATTACAAAACTTGTAACACTCAGTGGAAAAAGAAATTGTGGAGTGGCACAGAGATTAGATAATCCAGATAGAAAAGCACTGCAGCGACGGCAGGAGAAGCTAGATCTCTTTAGGCAGGAGGGATATAGATAAAACATTTAATATCAAATATGTTTAAAACTTAAGTTGCAAAGTCAAGCACTTACTTTAGGAGATACCAGAATTAAGATTAATTCTGAAACATCGATCACTTTGTGCATATGTGTTCTTACCTGGTTTGTAGTTTTACTTGAATGCTTCTCTGTAAGAATTCTGTGTGCAGAATGTGGACCCAGTGAATGAAACAGGGCAACTGAAATCAATGCATTTGAAATCATTGCATGGTTTTGCCTTTAGACTGATAGTTGTTAAAGCAGTTCTGTCTCAGATTTGCAGGGCTGAAAGGGGCCTTTGGAAGTCATCTAATCATCAAGGCTGGTAACTACAGCTGTCATTCTGGACAGAACTTGATATAAATTGCTAAAAATTCTTCCAGTAATAATAATTCCAGCTCTTCCTCAAACAGTATCTGCCAGTGTTTTTAATGTTGAAAAGATTTTTGTAAGGTCTAACTCAGATTTTCTTCTTTCTGGGTTTATCTCATTACTTCTTGTACCATCTGCCAGAGATAATGAAAGATAGATTACTTCGTTCATCTCTGCAAAAGGCTGTCAGTTCATTTACCCAGCATGTTATGACAAAAATCCCAAATTTCTTTCCTATTTTCATTTTCTTTTAGAGCACATTTCCTTGAGCTCTGATTCTTCTCCTTGTTCTGATTTCTCTTCAAATGGTCCGCATCCCTCCTGAAGCACAACGTGGGTATTGCACAGGGAGGGGCCAAGAAAGGTTTCACACGCAGCTTTAATCCTGCCTTATACTTGAGTTGCACAATTGACATTGTGGCCTTAATGTTTTTAATGCTGTTGTGTGGAACTTTTGCCTGGTTGGCATGCATAACCATGCCTTTAAGTTGCACAGCTCTCCACAGTCCATCTATATAGAGATGATCCAACCACTGAAACAGTATTTAGAAATGCCTCCTGTGCTGTGTGAGCAGGTTCCCCAGATTTGTGGAGCCCTGCTTTCTGTCACAGCTTACCTTTCACAAAGGCTCCTCGGCAGTTTTTCTGTCTCAGCCGGGCTGCTAAGCTGCCTCTCTCCACCTGGTTTTGCCCTGTTGCTTATGTACAGCTGTCCTGCCGCTTGTGGGCAGCCAGCCTACCTCTGGCAGGCCAGATCTGTTCACTG